CACACACACACACACACACACACACACACACACACACACACACACACACACACACACACCATTTTTATGTAACTTGGCCTTTTCTCTTTTATCTATTGTGGATAGATGACCTATTAAAACTGCTTCTGTGTCAAGTTATGTCTAGACAACACCAGTTCATACCTTAGGTGCCTTTTTTATGCCTGAATAATTTATAGGTCAAAAAGAAAAAAAATGATGAGGTTCAAGGACTAGACTGAAAATGTCTCCACTTTAAAAATTACCACAAAGACTCTTTGGAAGCAAATCTAAAGAAAGATTTTTGAGCAGTTCTTTGTCACCAACGGTCACATCAGGGCTGTTAGATCTTTATAAAACAGTGACTACCATCAGTTTGATCTGGATGAACTTTAAATGAGTTCAATTCAGTGCTTTAAGCCTAAATACTCAGTAAATCATGTATTAGAGAAGGCTTCTGCTCGAGTTTTTTGTGCTCTCTTAGCACTTCTGAAGGCTCTTACCTGAGGAGTGTTGTGATTGGCTGGCGGATTGATGAGCTGGTAACTTGCCTGGTAACTCACTAAAATCACGTGCTTCATGCTGCATGTTCCTTGCAGCACCCTGACCAGTGAACTCCCTGGAGAAACACTGACAAAGAATATTTATAAGACTATTTAGTATCAATCTCTGTCTAGTTTTTATTTTTTTGTTATTTTTGCACTGCCTAGTTTTTGCTAAAGCAGAATGAAACAGTGTTGACCATGTAAAAAAGAAAAAAAGGAGCTAACACATCAAATTCAACTAATGTCACTAGAAACAAACTGTGTTGCCTGAAATACAACCTGGGTGTATATTGTTGTATTTGTTAACACAAAATGATTAAATTACCAATTTGGATAACACATTTATTTTATTTCTTGCTGGTGTTAAATGAATACTAAACTTGCTGATCCAAACTTTGTTGTTGTTGTTTTTTTGTCTGGACATAAAGCAAAGCATCACCTGTCATGTGTTATTAATGCAACTCACTCTACATTCTTTACTGTTTGGGGCAATACTCATAAATGCTCACTAACATCATGCAAAAAAGGGCTATAAGGGTAATCGATGATACAGGTCACGGAGATTATACAAATACGCTGTTCTTAAAATCAAAAACACTAAAATTCACTGATCTGGTTCATTTTCACCACAAATTATGTATAAAACAAAAAAGAACCTACTTCCTGACAAAATTCTGAAAGCTGTCTTCTAAAACAAATGTTGGAAACAACTTCGTGGGAGAATCACATTTAAAACATCCTATATTTGTACAACATTAAAAAGATTATTATAGTATTTAGTGATAATTATTAGTACAAATAGAAGAAAGGGGTGGGATTAGACACGTGTATGCTTCTTCCTACTCCTTTTTGAACATGTTATTTATTAGGATTATTCTGTTTTCCTTGTGCTTTGTTTTGATTGGTTGTGTTTTTTCTTTTGTTGTTGAATTATTTTAACATGTTCAAAATAAAGCCACACAATGACAACTTGTTTGCACTGCAGTGTATTTTTGCTTGAATTACCATTTTTCCCTCTCAGCCCTGTGTTAGATCTGTAAGTCCATATGAACACGGAGTGAAGTGGAGTATTTCTTGCAGCAAAAGAGAATTTTGCAATGAAACAAGTCTTTAACTTGGGAATATACTTGTTTCATATGATTGTCTCAGGAAGTTGAAGACAAACTTTGGAACAAATCTTTGCACCTGACAGTGTAGGTCAGGTCTCACCGTGTCACACATCAGTGTCTGTGTGTTACTCTGTGCTTTCACTCACTAACAGGGTGGGTTTGCTCGTCTCTAGTGCTCACTGTCAGAACATGATAAGCACTTAAACAGCTCCTATCAGAGTCACAAACTCACATCCACGGTTTGGCTGTCACTGGGGTGAACGACGATGACCACCTCTCTCAGACAGCGAGGGTTTCTGCTGCTGCTGTACGAGCGGATCTCCCTCAGCAGGAGTTTGGACACCAGGGCTCTGGGGAAGCTCAGGTTTCCTGTCCCGATGGCTGGGAAGGACAACGATGCCATCTGACGTTTCTCAGCCTCCACCAGACAGTATCTGATGATGGACGTTAACTCCTGACAGAGATAAGACAAAGTGAAGCTGGACTTCAGTGATATCATAACAAGCTTAATATGCTGTATTACCACACAAATGGTATCAGACATGATGAATGTGGAGCAGAAAAGGACTGTGGTGATCTGAGGCCTTCATATAGACGACCTCTCCTGTAACTATCTGCCGTTCAGCTTCTCTGTATTCTGTCTGAAGTACTGTGACTGTTTTCTGTCTCGATGTTTGTTATTTGTCCAAAAAGGTCCCATGTTTATCTCTTTATTATTCAATTAAAAAGAAACATTTCTTCTGAAACATGTAAGTGAGCCTTACAGTTCATTGACTTTTCTTTGTTTAAATGAGGTTAAATCATCCACATTCATTACTACAGATTCAGCCGTCACTGGACCCACATTAATTGTCTAACCTTCAATAAGAAGCCTCACCTCCTCTGCCTGGCCGCCTCCGTTGTCCCAGGATGGACAAACAGCATGAAAGACTTTGAGACATGTGAGGTTGTAGCTGTCAGTGACGACGACTTCCCCGTCTTGCAGTGTGTCCCTTCTGGCTTCAGAGTAGATGGCGTCCTGCAGACTGCTTCCAGCTGCTGACAGGATGGCTTTGGACACAGCTCCCTGCCTCAGGTTCATGTCCTCTGAGATGGTGTTGACGATGACGTCAGTCTGTGGAACAAAAGCAAAATGGCACAGAGTTTAAGCTTGAACAATCAACGGTTCACGCAAAAATACAAAAACATTTTATGATTTTCATTTTTAAAACCAAATGGCCGAGGAATTAAATGTCTGCACAGTGTGGCAGACGATACCAAACTGCTTACAGCAAAGCAGGCGTCTGCTCAGGCTGGCCGGATTAGATTTTGTAAAAGTTAAAACAGCAAAAACAACCCTGAGCCAAATATTCAGCCCCACAGTAAAAGTTTCCCTTTGATATTTCACATTAAATGATAACAATTCTTCACAGATGTATGGTAGGAACAGTGTAACACAGACTGTTATAACTATACTTTTTGTTTTAACCTAAATCTTAAACATGTGAATTACTGCAAATTGTATTCTGGTTAATGGGTTTGAGATTTTGTATTTTAACGTCTTTTGTGATGTAAACTGTTGTGGTTCTGCTGTGTGGCAGACAGGATGAGGACCCAAACTGAGGACTCGAACACAAAAGGTAAACTCAAAGCAGCAGCTTTATTCGCTAAAAAAAACTCAAAGACTCAATAGAAGAACCAAAACATGAAACTAGAAGCTAGGACACTAAGACTCAGAATATGTGAGTCGAGGGAAATAGAAACAAAGGGACTTGGAACTGACAGGAAGTAACAATGGGACTCAGGAGCATAGAGAAAACACACAGCAGTGTAAGGGCACGACACAACAACGCACGGAGGAAAACACAGGGCTTAAATACACCAGGAAGTAATGAGGGAAAGGAAACAGGAGGGAAGCACAGCTGGGGCTAAGCTGACATAAAGAGACAAAAGAAGAAAAGCAAAATACACTGACATAGGACACAGACTTTCAAAGTAAAACAGGAAATACACGAACGCAGAGGCAAGGATGACAAGGAAGACACAGAGAACATCAAGACCTGTAATGTGGGACAGGAAGGTAAAGAGTAGACATAACAAGGAACACAGGGGAGGCACGTAAACAAAACCTAAAGACTAGAAATCAGGAAATACTAAAGAACTTACGGAGCTAGAATACACAACAGAAACCAAGAGACTAGCAATGATAAATCATGATGAAATCAAAGATTAATAACAACACGAAACCCTGGGTCACCGATCCAGGACCATGACGTAAGCAAGGCGAATGTCTCGGCCATTAACGGGTGCGTTTTGGATCTGATCAGTATTAGCAGACTGAAATGTTTGCATTGCACTTCTGCTCATCAGGTCAGGTTTGTTTTTTTTAGCTCGGTGGAGATGTTGGCATCGGGAACCAGAGACTGTTAAACCGAGATGACTAAACACCCAAAGCAGAAATGAGCTTCGTTCCTGTTGGATGAACTCATATTCCAGAGATAATTAAAGCGATTCACACTTCTGTACTGTGATGAAACTAAACCATCTCTGTTACTGTGACACACAGAGGGCTGACGCCAAACTGTGAATGTAAATAGTGATCTGATTCTGTGTTTTCAGCATCGTAATTCTCTCTCTCTCTTTGTTTCTTTTTGCTGTTGTATCAGTAACTCGTAAAGATAGTACTCAATATTTTATTTAGGGGTATCAGAGTAAAGGTAAATATAAATGCACGCCACACTTTTCAGATTTCTATTCATAAAAACACCAGGTATAAACACTTCACAATTATGTGCTACTTTGATTGACCAATCTCACAAAAATAGAAATGAAATACATTTATGTTTGGGGCTGAAATGTGACAAAATGTGGAAAAGTTGTGAAGAGTTGTGAATACATTTTCAAGGCACTGTGTTTATCCTAGTAATCTGCAAAGTTTGAGAAGTAAAGACTAATAAAAAGACGTGTGATAAGCAAAGGAATGTGAGTGGTCAGATAGGGGTCAACAGAGAGTGATCAACAAAGGACAAAACTATAAAGGTTTTCTACAAATTGTAATAATCTAGAATTCACCTTTAATCTTGGTTTTTCTGTGTATGTGATCTAATTCTATGTTCTCATGTTGTAATTAGCTCTAAACCAGCAGTTTACAGAATCCTCTCAGTCGTGATCCAAACAGCATCACAGGTACTCACAGTCTGGTCCTCAATGTTTCCCCTGCACAGAATGATCTTCAATCCCTCAGCCGTGGTCTGCTCCAACCTACACCCAATCAGATAACAGCACTGATGACATCACACTCTGGCAGAGTTTTATACAACCAAAGAAAAGAAGATGAGGAACCTTACCCTCCGTGCTCTCCGTGGCTGGTGTGTTGCTTGGGACTTTGGCTTCCCCTGTTACCCTGATGATTTCCCCAAGATTCACCTCTTCCTCCTCGTCCTCCTCCTCGTCCTCCTCCTCTTCCTCCTCTTCCTCCTCTTCCTCCTGTTTCAGACCAACTGGCACCATGTGACTGGCTCTGACCTCGTTTGCCTCGACCTCGGTGATATCCACTGAGAAACAATTTTAAAATGTTTAAGTTCACTTTGTTTTAATAAAATGGCGGACATTCAACTTACATGCTGCATGTAAGTTTCTTTGCAAGCACAAACCCTGAGTAAAGTATCTTGGTATCAAAATAAAGCTAACACTTCATCAGAAGTTTAAATATTACAGTAGATGTTGCTGAAACACAGAAAAAGTAACTTAATTTTTTCCTCGTCTATTTTATTTTTGGATTTTATCATATAACCAATGTTGAGTTGCATGCAGTAAAAATTCATTATTAAAAAACTTTAACATTACCCTGAAGCTCCTGTTCGTTTCCCGCCTGCTTGCTGTGGGATGGTCATGGGTCTGAGGTCAGAGAACTCCTTGCTCACAGCTGTAGCCATGACTCTGATGGTGCTATCATTGTTGTCCACCAGGTGAATCTCAGTTAATGATCTCAGACCTTGTGGGCTGTCACAGTGCTCCCGAACTGCCTGGGCTATGGTCTCAGCACAGAGGTCAACAGGGAAACCAAAGATGCCCGAGCTGATCGCTGGCAGTGCAACGCTGGAGCAGTTGGCCATCTCTGCTTGTCTCAGACTTTCTCTAACGGCAGTCTTCAGGCGTGACACTGCTGTCTTCCTGTCAAAGTCAGAGAATCGTGGACCAACTGCATGGACAACATGTTTGCAAGGCAGGTTGTAGGCATCTGTTATGATGGCGTCACCAGGACGCAGACGTCCATTTTTAGCGACGTAGTCGCTGCTTTCTCTCTGCAGCTGTGGTCCTGCAGCCCTTAGCAGTGCCAGAGCCAGGCCACCAATGTGGTCTAAGTCCTCATTAGCTGCATTGACCACAGCGTCCACACCAAAGCTGCAGATGTCCACCTTACTGACAGAAATCAGAACTCCACTGTTGGTCTGCACTCTGCACAGGGTAGTTTCTCCTCCATAATTCTCTGCTTCTTCTTCTTCTTCTTCTTCTTCTTCATCAATCTCTGGACGAAGGAGAATAACACATCTTAACTCATTCATTATTGTAGACAGGAAAATGCTTCCTTGGGTTTGGAAGTATTTCTTTGCTCCTGGCTTGTCCACAGTTAAGGTGTCAGTGAAGAGAGCACTGGCCAGTTCCCTAAAGCAGGATTTGGTTTTCTGGACATGAAGACGAGCTCCAGCAAAGCTGATTCTTGGCCTCTGTACATGAAAACTTACTGAAACATTATTATCTTTGGCAATACTGGACCATTCCTCTGTTCTTTTCTTTTCAATAAACTGAACAGCAGCACAGGATTGGACACGAACGGTTTCTTGAACTCGTGAGTAGTTCTCAACAAACACCCTCAGACTCTGGCTGACCTCTTTCACTGGATTCACAAAACCAGCCACTGTTATTTTTCTCTCTGGGTGCATCTGAATGGCCACAGTTTTTTTCTTCGATAAGTTGTAGGTATCCAGCAGGTTTTGTTTCAGGTCCATCCAGGTAGGGAGTTTTAGAACTTCCGGATCTTCCACATTTACAATCTGATGAGCCAAAGCAGCCTTCATCTTACTTTCCGCATCAGCAAGGATTCTGTCAGAACTCCCAAACAGGAGAAGCCCTTTGTTGTCGATGGTGTAGACTGCACTGATGCCTTGAGATGTGAACAGATCCTGGGACAAGTCCATCGGATCCAATGTTCTGAGAAAGTCTAGAAGACATGGGGGGACATTCTGTTGTTTCTTACTCATATTCACATTCCTCTCCAAGATCCATGACTTAGTCTTGTAGACCTCTGCACTGAGTCCTGTAATGGTTAACTTCTGGGTGCCTTCATCATAAGAGAGTTTCATCTCAGGAGAAATGTCCAGAGCAGCTTTCTGGAGCCCCTCCAGCTTCAGGATGTAGAACATCGCAGGGGGCAGAATCATTTCCTCAGAGATGCTGTTTGTCTGTCGTTCAATGTGACTCATGGCTTTCAGAAGAATGTTCTCCACAGGAGCCCTGATTCGTTTTATATCATCAGCTCGGCCAGCAACAGTCAGAACCCCTTTGGATGCATCCAGCACCAAGATGGCATCTTCCTTCACCACCGAACGGACATCTTTCTCTGCAGCTGTCCATCCCGGTGTATTTGCTTGACATTCGAATGCCGTGTACTGAGACATCAGGCGACGGAAGGCCTCTTGGGCCTTACTCATCCAGTTTTCTACATGTTCTGCTGTCAGATCTTGCTGCCTCAAAAACTCAGGCACAGGGCTGAGTTTCACTTCAGGGTCATTCAAATCCACTCTGCAGAAGTGTGGACGCATCTGATCATTGATGTGTTCTGATAGTTTCTTCTCCACAAGGAATTTCCAGATAACGTGGTGAACAGGCTCTGTGAAGGGCTCGGGCATCTTCCATGTTGGGCGTTCTTTGCTGTACAAGGCGGTTCCCAGTGACTCGTAGTATGGATATGCCTTCACTGTGATAGATTTCATCTCGAGGTCTTTCTTTACACAAATCTTTTCCACAACTGCAGCAAACAAGGAGCAGAGAAGCAAAGGTTAGGTAAGTGGTGTTAAGGTTTTTTTTTTTAATTTTTCTATAAAGATTTATCCAAGTCACAAGGGGTTTTGAACCTTTTTTTATCTGACATAACCCCACAGACATAAAACATTCTTCTATAACTCCTTTCATATTCAAATTATTTCATCCATCCATCCATTCGCTTCCGCTTATCCTTTCCAGGGTTGCGGGGGGCACTGGAGCCTATCCCAGCTGTCATAGGG